AAGAAAGATTGAGTATAAGGATATAGTACAGGAAGAAAGAAGTAGTTCGTAAAAAGAAATATAAAGCGATTTTAATCTCACGGTTTAAGGCAGGACAAAGAGTGTATACACCGACGTCATTGGGATTGATTCTGAGCCGTGTCACCAAGAGTCTCCAACCATTGGTTACGATAGTCACGCGAACCCCTAACCAAGTAGTCTGCATCTCCCAGCATGGGTCAAACTAGAAGTTAGCGACTTCAAGAACTGGTGCCACGTTTGGTTTGGCCGCCCATAATTTTCTTCCAACCGTCTTCAACACTAGTGAGCATTATAACACCGTGACTGACACATTGAATGTGGCCTTAAGAGCTATATTGCAGGTGGGAGCCATTTTCAGATGAAAGTATTTCTCTCAAGTAGATCGAATCTTATTCAGACAATGTATAGTACAATCAGAAGAGAACTGCTATCAATTTGCTTGGCAATAAAGCATTGCCGACATATGGTAGAGGTTACGATTTTCGCTGTGTGTATAAATCATAAACCTCTTACGAAAACACTAATCGCCAAACAAGATCACTGTTCTCGGAGGCAAGTTCAACAAATAGAACTTATTGATTTACATCCAGTATACGATATACTAAAGGCAATGATAACAAAGCAGCTGATAGGCTATCTAGAACAATGGTAAACGCACTCATTCCACCTAGAATCGATTTTCACAACCTGGCGGCGTTTCAGAAGACTAAGAACCGATAACACAATTGCTTTAGTATTCGAAGAAGTTCAGTTCGGCAATGCAAAAGTAATGTGTGACATGTCGACAAGCTGACTATTTATCCCGAAGCAGTCACGATGAAAGATCTCCAAAGTTATACATAATATGTCTCACCCAGTAATAAAAGCCATAGTCAAGCTAGTCGGAGAACGCTTCGTATGAGTAAACATATTCGTAACTAGACATGAGCGTTCATGAAGGGCCAAAAAGTCAGTCCCTTATCATACCAAATCTGCAGTGGGGTCCTTCCGTCATACCGACACTAGATTCGATCGTATAATACACATCAATATGGTGGGACCACTGCCAATTTCGAATGCCTTCTACTACATTTTTACACATTGATAAATTCACGAGATGAGCTGTAGCGGACAATAAACGACATGTCGGCCGAGATCATAGCCAAAACCCTAGTTGAGAGTTGGATCTCTTGTTATATTACGACTGATAGAGGAGCTCAATTCGGAAGTCACTTCTCACATCAGCTCTCAGAATTCAACGTATTCGCACGACAACCTACCATCCGATGGCGAATGGCATAGTTGAGCGACTGAATGGGTAATTAGAAACTTCTTTGACGACTATACTTGTTAACGATAACATGGCCAGTAAGCTTCCTCTGAATATGTTGGGTTCAACAACGATAAAACAGGACATTAGTTGTTGTTCAGCAGATCTGGTCCATAGAACTACCTTACGTTTGCCCAGAGAATTTTTCACTTCAATAAGTGTTCCGACTGATGTTGCTAACTATACGTACAACGTCAAAAACGTACATGACTTAAAATAGCGCTTCCTAGATACCAATAAAATGGATATACGTACCACAGCAACTGAATAGTAGCACTCATGTATTCATCAGAATAGATAATGCAGTCTACTTTACAGCAGAATCATGACACTTCGTTTGAATTGGTTGCGATGAGTGATAAACGTTTATTGTACAAAAAGCAGGAAAAATGGGCTTAATTCGCATTGACCGAGTCAAATCAGCTTTCATTGATAGTGATGATAAACTGACAAACTCAGATCGTTCAAAAACCATCGTATTACCGAAACGTGAGTCGCAATCTCCAACGATGGAAATGAAGAAACTTCAGTAATCAAGAGATTTAAATGGCCGCAACGGTATACAGCCATGATTTGAACTGATAATTTGTTTCATTATTTTGAATATAAATTATTTTTCTTCCTCTTCGTTTTGTACACACATATCGTCAGGTTCACATAATCTATTGCGAAATTTTGATACATTATGTGTATTTTTATGCGTTTGTATAGGCTTTAAAAACGATATCATATCCCTTTGATCTGTCATCATTATTTTATCTAGCCTCACAGACATATACGAACTCGGTCATACACAAACAAATATGAATTTAAACAGTAGCTTGATCTTACATTTTTATTGTGTATTATTCGATATTTTCAGTGTGTTACTCCCTTTTGCATACACATTTTTTACATCATTGTTTTTAGGAGGAAGTTATTATTATGGCATTATAGCACTTAAGTCTGGTAATGTTTAATTGTCGAACTCTTCAATTAACCTTTTTTAACAGACAGTACCGTTCGGGCAGTAACTATTTGCATATCTTTGTATTATTAACTATATAAACATGATTACCTGATCACGTGTTACAACCTATAAACACACTCCTCTTAATAGCTTAAATCGCTAGACGAATCATGCGCTTTTCCATTAACATATGTGCTTGAATCATGTTCATTCACTCGACTCCTTATTCGCTAGCTCGCATCCGCGTGTCTACTCGAATTCGCTGTGTGTTTGTGGCTTATTAAACTGCGCTGTATGATAGTGAACTGTATTCAATGCTTAGCATTGTCTTCTGAAATGTATACACTGTTGGGAGTTATCTGATAACGTTTATCAGGACACGTGACATACGAAGCCTTAGGAATCATTTGTAAGATAATATGCTACAAATATTTGGTCTATGCATCTACCTCCAGGTCAGAAACTTGCCTGGTTTTCTCGGGTTTGCTTTTCATGAGACATCAAAGTATTATTTATGTTAATATTTTAGATACTATATTAGTCAATCTGATTCCCCTGCGATTGTCACAAGACCATTTTTGTCCGTTCTTATAAACTGGGACATTTATCAATCAAAACTAGTCAGATGAGATTACGTCTAGTTCCCAGATTTTAGCTAAGATTTCAGTCAATCTAACTGCCAAAACTGGACAACCATCTTTAAAAATCACAGGAGTTACTCCATCACGCCCTGTTACTCTCCATCGCTTTATATTGCGTATAGCCTTTTTGACCTCATTGATAGTTTGAGGACTTATGTAATTTAGCTTGGAGATAGTGTGTAACTGAAACGTAGCTAAAGGCTGGCTGAACTGTTTCCTTAAGTGTTCTGCCCATCGGTCCGATCTCCTGCATTGACAGTGAATAATAGTACCGCCTTTTTCCAAAGTAGTTTCACTACTCGTTTCCTTAATAAAACTGAACATTTATTTAATGTTATCTATCGCTGCTACCTTTTCCACCTATTCAGCTTTCGCTGCCCACCACTGCTCACGGTCATTACGTTGACTGCTTACTGAACATCTATCAATTCTGTAGACGCAGCTAAAATCCACTAGTTTTTCCTAAACTTTTCGTTTAAGTTACTAGAATTTATCAAAGCTTCTTGATTATCATACAGTTACCTCGGAGTGGATATCATTTTCACACTTGACTAGCTCCTCTCATTGTTCCTGTGATATATATATATATATATATATATATATATATATATATATAGCCATATCAATTTTTTCAGATGGCCGCCATTCTGCTCGCTGAGCAGCAACATCACAATGTTTGTTTGAATGCCTTTCGATTTGGTTTAGTCTACATACTTGAACAGTAAAATCACGTACCAATATTACTGAGTCAGAGCGTTTAGCTTTTTGAAGGTTGAACAGCTCCCCATAAAATCCATCTTTAACTTCATTCAAATTGTAATCAGTGAGAGCATAGGCAGAGATAACGCAGTGTGCCCCTACCTTTTTGAATTCTGATTGTCCTGCTTAGTCGGACAGTGCACAAGCGACTGTATATTGGAATCAAGTCTAACAGAACCTGTTCTGCTTTAAAAATTAATGTTGTACCTATACCACCGAGGCCACAGGATGTTGCAGTGAGGCCTTTAGATACTCGAACGGTAAATCGTCCCGGTTCTTTATATTGACAAGGTGAGGTCAAGTAAATGACCGTACTCATATTCCTGTGTGCGCATTTCGGAGACGCAGCATACATTGATGGCATGAGATTCTAGAGTCCTAGCAAAGGAGCCTGTTGTTCTATCTGACACAAGGTTTGAACATTAAGAGCCCCAAAATGTAGTTTAGATGGTGGTCTCAGTAGACCAGGAATAATTTTTCGTGAACTCAAATCATTAGCATTAGCAGCGCATGGTGATAAATATATACCAGAAAGGTTAATCGCAGGGATACGAGAATTATAAAGCGGTGATAAGGGGATTTGATCGCCAAGAATATAATATCGGGTGCTGATAAAAGTATAAGGACGACTGTCACTTCCCAGTTGCTTACAGAGAATTTTATACCGTACTAAAATATAATATTGAATAAAGCCATTTATATCAATAAAACAATAATAATATAAAAGGATATCTCTTTTTGTGGGAATTGAAAAACAAGCTAAATTGGTGGTGGTCTTGGAGACCTGGGAGCATAGCTGCAGAGACCAATGGACAACTGCTTGAGGCGAGTCGCGCACGGCCTTTCTTATGGAAAGTTTACGATGTACAAACTTCGCACTTCAAAAAGCCTTGCCTCCGTAGACAGAAATCTGTGGGGTAAGGTGGGGTGTGATCTCTCTAGAACCAACCTTTTCAAATGCCTTCCTTCCGTTATGAAAAGTTAGTATTACTTCAAATGCCGGTCGTTCGAGGGAAACGCCTGACTATTTTCCTACCTCTCTACACTCAGCAGTACGACTTCGGGTCTTAAGATACTGCTTTAAGTCTTATAGTTCTCCAAACGACCTGGCTGGTGTGGCGAGATCTAAACGAACATATGTTGCAGCCCGATTGGGTCATCACAATAGGCAAACCCAACCATCACGTCAAAGTAGCAGCTACGGTCAAGACGTTACCGGTGTTTAAATATATCAATGTGATATATTTTCGCAAATTATTATAACGCATCAATTAAATCCAATATTTTGCAATGTGAACTGAGTGTATGAAGAATATTCAACTGTTGATATTTCCTTTCGTTTATTTCTAGTATAATCATTAATAATATCAGCAATTTAATAAGATTAATTTAGCCAATGTAAATTGACTTTCCACATCTATTGAAATTTTAATTAATAATAAAAAACGATGTGGGAATGTTGTACAAATACATAGATCAATAGACAGATTAATTTAAAATCAATAGGATTTCCATTATATTCATATTCACTGTCTTATTGTTCTCACGTAAAAGTGAGATGACAGGATGCGAGACAGAGAGAGAAGACATATTCTTTTTTTTTATCAAATAAAAACAATTTAAAGTAAATGAAGACAAGAAAGGTGACGAAAACAAACGAATAAGTAGTGTTGACAAAAAACAAACACGAGAAGTCAGTAATTCATTGTTGTTGTTAGTTTGACAATAAAAAAACAATCTAATTAATTACTTGTCAAAAATTTACTCGCCAACTGGACTTCTTTATCCACTTTTTTCTGATTTCGTTCTTCGTAAAGAAGTCTAAAGTTGATTAGTTGCCATGTGCACAGTGTACGAGTATGAGTATGTGAAAATTTGTGTGTGTATGTATAGAATGATGTATCAAAAAAAAGTATAATAAAGTTAATCTCAAGAAGAAAAAACTAATCACATTACAACATTAGAACAAATTCTTTCTTCGATTTTGAAGAAAATGATGCTATGAAACCTACATATGTTTCATTCAACTTCAAGTGAGACTGAACAAATAATAAATTATCAGTATTGAGTTCTGGAGATTGTTGAGTTTTGATTGAGATCATGAATCGATCAATTTTAAACCACCATTGAAAACATAGAAGCATTGGACGGCCATTTCGTCCTAGTATGGGACTCTTCAGTAGTGCACATCCACGACCCCGTATGTGAAACCGAAGGTCCTAGATTCGAGGTCCGTGTGTGGGACGGTGAATGTGCACTGCTGAGGAGTCCCATACTAGAACAAAATGGCCATCCAGTGCTTCTAGGTTTTCAATGGTGTTCTAACATTGATCGACTCATAATCTCAATCAAAATAATAAATTATAGATTTATGTACTTCTGTGTCCGATAATAACTCAAGCTAAACTAGTTAAAATAAAACTCAATAGTTGAGTCAAATGCTTTAAACAGTTAAACTACTATTATTAAACAGTGTCTTGAACTAAAGAATACGAAAAATTACAACTAGCAGTTACTTAACAATATCAGAGATGTATGTTTGTGAAGTACAAACTTTGGAGTGATTAACGGACAGTTATATTACACAATTATCTCAATAATGCTAAAGAATTTTATGATGTTACGTTCATTTGAAAGAATAGCTTTATTAGACAACGTGTAATTTTTTGTTTTACCTCTTTATTATTACATATTTCTGATTTCTCAGTTGACATAAAATCCTTTGAGCAATGGCTGGCTAATTTCGCGACCTGATTAGCTCACTAAAGAAAAAGACTTTCGATCTTGGTTTCCGAGATACCGAGGTTTTGAAGAATCCACCCTACCTCCAGGAATGATCTCAAATGACCGTATGCTTATAGCCTCTTCCTGGGAAGACGTACAATAACTATTTTGATACAGTGAGAGTGGCCCTGAAAAAGTAATTGATACCAGACATGTCACTTAGATTGAAGTTAGTAGATTCGTTGTAGATAAGCTAGGAAACTATTTAAAACCAATAATAAATATCGTCATCAGGATAAGGACGAAACCAATGGTGTACGAACCTACATCAGTTACATGCTACCTTAAAATGTCATGTGACGTTACCCCATTGCTTTGTAAATCAAACCTTAAGGTCAAAGAATGGTCTGATACTATTTGCTTTGTTTTGAGTACCCAGGCAATAACACAGAATTTATGCAAGCGTGACACATTTTTAATGCTCTACTGTAATGAACCTTTTATATTGTATTAATTAATTCGCCATCGACGAAAATATAACATGGTGTATCTGCGTTCTATCGTTTGCTTTAAAGTAACATTCTAATGAGTTCACCGAATCTAATTCAGGAACTTTTGTGTTGCTCTATTTTTTAGTAAGAATATAGGAAATTAACATTACCGACTGATAATAACTATAAACAGATGCTAACATACGATGATAAATACGAAAGACTCACCTTGTCATGAAGTTACGTCTGAACAATGTGAAATCTTAAAAAAAAGCCCTACTAATTATCGTGTGTGATTATCTTTGAGGCGGACTTCCCAACGTTGTAGTAGAAAACTGCGTAGGTAAACCAATCTAGAATCAGGCAGTAACTCCAAAATGACATTGGAGAGCATCAAGATACGTAAGAGATGTACAAGGGAAGATGGTTCTCGGGTCGGTTCAGTTTGGGATCATGGGTGAACAGTGCTACTTAAGAGCCACTAACTAAAATGAAACAGTTGTCAACAGCGCTCTCTGGTCAGTCGGTCAGTCAAACTCAACATAAAACCCAGCATATGTGTACATCAATTCAAGTTGCCATATTTTACTATTAGCGCAATGAGGTGAAATTGCTAGGGTAAATCCCAGAGCAGCAAAGGTAGTAAGAGTACTAGCGGTAATGGAAAAGACTAGACATCTAATATACGATTGGAGAAAATATGAATTAGTGAAAAAAGATTTTGAGGGATTTAGAAAACTAGCATCTAAACGGAAGGCAAAGAGCGGATTTTGAGCCATGTCAGCCAATACCTTGAAAAACATAGATTACGATAATCACGTGGACACGAACCAGGCAATCTACATCAGTTAACATAGGTCAGATCAGTCATCAATGGTTTCTTAGACTGTTGCTATATCTTGCTTTCGCTTCTTCTAGTTTTCCTTAAACCTAGTCCCTCACCACAAAACATCACCCGTCGAGGTAGACAGTGGTTGGACGAACGTAACAGAAATCCCAACCACCTCATTTGATGAATATTTACTATTTTATAAACAGATTTACCTAGTATCCTATTCCTAACCTTGTTATTGCTCATCCGATGGTCCCAAAATACACGAGTGACACTTCGATGGCATCTATGATCAAATATTAGAAAACTACGAATATCCAAATGGCCATGTCTCACACCTGTAAAGTAGAATAGAATGAAATGTTACTCGGTAAAGTCGTTCTTTGGTGGTCAGACGAATATCTTGCGTACTCCACAAATAACGCAATTTGGCGAAAGCCAGTGCACTTCTGAATCCGTGACGAGATTTCTCCGACCATCAGCCTATCAGGACTGGTAAGACTTTTAAGATAAGTGAAGGGAGCTCGTCACGCTCAAATGCTTTACTTTCTGGTTTTAAAGATCTTTCCAGGTTATTAAGATTTCGGATGAAACTCACCATCAAATAAATTAGTCAAAACTATACACTTATGAAATAATATCACTTGCCTATTTTTCATAATACGAGATATAACAAGTGAAGTTGTAACATTACATCCACTATCGATTCTACGAAGAATACCTCGTTCTTTACAAACCTTCAGGAACAGAAAAATTAAAAACAGCAATAAATACATTCGTGAAATGATAAATTTACTGTAAAATATGAAGAAAAAAACTCATCATTTGTAATGTGGTTGGGAAAAGTGAAAATGGGTAACACTTTTTAGATTAATATTGGTCTGTATTATGATTTAACTTCGTCTGTAGCTTTTCAAAAGTTACTGCCGGTCCCACGCTCGGGTAAAGGAGGAGGGTTGGGAATGGGGTTAACGTCCCCATTCCGTAAAAAACTAAATCGCCAAAAAACGCTTACCAGAAAAAATAATTCAAACCATTCAAACTCTGCCCTGAGAGTTAGAAGGTCTTCATGTAGAAGAATTATGACGCTTCATGGTGAAAGCCGAGTTCCTTCGGAAGCCACGAGGCCGATGCCCCTTCTAACAACCAGAGTAACAATTTTTATAGGTACATGGAACGTCCGAACAATGTGGGAGACCGGGAAGACCAGTCAAATAGCAACGGAAGTGAGGAGATACAATTTGGCAGTACTGGAAATCAGCGAAACCCATTGGACCCAAGCTGGACAACAAAGGCTAAATACGGGAGAGATGCTCCTGTACTCCGGTCACGAAGAGGAAGATGCTCCACACACTCAGGGAGTTGCTCTAATGCTGTCCAAAGTAACACGAAATGCTTTTCTAGGATGGGAATCTCACGGATCCAGAATCATCAAAGCATCATTCAAAACAAAGAAGGAGGGGATCACAATGAATATTATCCAACGTTATGCACCCACCAATGATAGCAACGACGACATTACAGATCAATTCTACGAGCGGCTGCAGTCAATCATAGAGAAATGCCCAAGGAAGGACCTCACCATTCTAATGGGAGATCTAAATGCTAAAGTTGGAATAGACAACACCGGATATGAAGATATCATGGGACGACATGGACTGAGTGAGAGAAACGAAAATGGGAAAAGATTTGCAAATCTGTGTGCATTCAACAAATTGGTCATAGGAGGCACAATAATTCCACACAAACGTATACACAAAGCTCCATGGATCTCACCGGACCACACCTCAGAGAACCAGATAGATCATATCTGTATCAATAAAAAATTCTGAAGGAAAATGGAAGATTTGAGAACCAGGAGAGGAGCTGATATAGCTTCAGATCACCACCTAGTTGTGGCCAATTTAAAGCTGAAGCTAAAGAAAAACTGGACAACTGGACAAACAGTACTACAAAGGTTCAATACAGCCTTCCTTCGAGATACTAACAAAATCAGCGAATTCAAAATAGCTCTCAACAACAGGTTCCAAGCCTTACAAGATCTACTGAACGAAGAAGAAACTACTATGGAAGACAACTGAAAATGTATCAAAGAAGCATTAACTTCAACGTATCAAGAGGTTCTGGGTCTAAAGAAGCACCATCATAAGGAATGGATCTCTATAGAAACTCTGAACAAGATCAAAGAAAGGAAGAACAAGAAGACAGCAATTAACAACAGTCGAACACGAACAGAGAAAGTTCAAGCACAAGCTGAGTACATAGAAACAAACAAGCAAGTGAAGAAGAGCATTAGAGCCGACAAGAAGAAATACGTGGAAGAACTAGCAACGATGGTGGAAAAAGCTGCAAGGGAAGGAAATATGAAACAGCTATACGATAAAAGGAAGAAACTAACAGGGAAATACAGTAAACCAGAGAGACCGGTCAAGGACAAAGAAGGTAGGCCAATCATTGAAATTCAACAACAGCGGAACAGATGGGTAGAATACTTCGAGGAACTCCTGAATAGGCCGGCTCCAATGAATCCACCAGACATCGAAGCAGCGCACACAGATCTTCCTATATATGTCAATCCACCAACGACGGAAGAAATTAGAATGGCCATCAGAAAAATCAAGAGCGTGAAAGCAGCAGGACTCGACAACATACCAGCTGAAGCACTGAAGTCAGACATCGAAGTAACTACAAACATGCATCACCTTCTATTCAAAAAGATTTGGGAGGAGGAACAAGTGTCGATGGACCGGAAAGAAGGACACCTTATCAAGATTTCTAAGAAAAGAAGATCTGAGCAAATGTGAAAACTACAGAGGCATTACACTACTGTCAATGCCAGGGAAAGTTTTTAACAGAGTGTTGCTGAACTGGATGAAAGATGCAGTAGACGCCCAACTTCGAGATCAACAAGCTGGATTCCGTAAGGATCGGTCGTGCACAGATCAAATTGCGACACTACGGATCATCGTCGAACAATCAATTGAGTGGAAATCGTCACTGTACATCAACTTCATCGATTATGAAAAGGCATTTGACAGTGTAGACAGGAGGATGTTTTGGAAACTTCTTCGACACTACGGAGTTCCCGAGAAGATTGTCAATATTATCCGGATCCCATACGACTGACTCCAGTGCAAGGTCGTGCATGGAGGACAGCTGACAGATGCATTCCAAGTAAGGACCGGAGTCAGACAAAACTGCTTACTCTCTCCCTTCCTCGTTCTTCTGGTGGTCGACTGGATAATGAAGACCTCGACATCTGAGGGAAAACACGGAATACAATGGACATCCCAGAATCAATTAGATGATTTGGACTTCGCAGATGACCTAGCCCTCCTATCACACACACATGAAAAAATGCAGATAAAGACAGCCAGTGTAGCAGCAGTCTCTGCATCAGTAGGCCTCAGCATACACAAGAAGAAAACCAAGGTCCTCAAATTCAAAGCGGAGAACAGCAATCCAATCACTCTTGATAGTGAAACTCTGGAAGATGTAGAATCCTTCACAAACCTGGGAAGAATAATCGACAAACAAGGAGGTTCAGATGCAGATGTAAAGGCGAGGATTGGCAAAGCAAGGACAGCATTCCTCCAGTTGAAGAACATATGGAACTCAAAACAACTTTTAACCAATATCAAAGTCAGAATCTTCAATACGAATGTCAAGGCAGTTCTACTGTACGGAGCTAAACTTTAGAGAACTACAACAACCATCATCAAGAAGGTGCAAGTATTTATAAATAGCTGTCTACGCAAGATACTCAACATCCATTGGCCGGATACCATCAGCAACAGCCTTTTCTGGGAGAGAACAAACCAGCTTCCAGCTGAAGAGGAAATTAGGAAAAGACGATGGAAATGGATAGGACATACACTACGCAAAACGTCAAACTGCATCACGAGAGAAGCCCTAACTTGGAATCCTGAAGGAAGGCGGAAAAGAGGAAGGCCAAAGAACACATTACGTCAGAAAATAGAAGCAGATATGAAAAAGATTAATAACAACTGGAAGGAGCTGGAAAGGATTGCCCAGGACAGGGTTGGATGGCGAATGGTGGTGAGCGGCCTATGTTCCTTCACGAGGAGTAACAGGCGTAAGTAAGTAAGTATTATGATTTACTAAAATATATTGCCTTGCACATAACAAACAAAAGGCTTTCATGACAATAATAAGTGAAAACGTCTATGCACAAATATTAATGTATAATGCGGAATTTCAATTCAGTCAATATTATGGTATAAAAATATGACTTTATTGTACATTCATGATAACTATTACTAATCATTCTGTCTTGATTTAATGCTATATTTTAGAAGACAGAAAAGAGACTTTATGAACAGACATTCCAGAAAGTAGTCTAAGCAACAACTCAAGAAACAAGTAATTGAGTATTTCTAATTTCTTTTAACATGAATAGTGAAGTAAATCAAGGAAGAGTTAAATGTGCCGTATATACACAGTTAAATAATAATTTAAACAAGAATATAATAATAAACCGACATTAAATGAAGATTGAACATTGGACAAAATAAATTAATTTTACGGCATATTAAAAACAACATAAAATCGATAATCATACTAACAAAATTATTTAAATTAACTTTGTCATAATCCACTGTATTTACACTCAAACTGTATATTGGCACAGGACCATATTGAACTTAGTCATATGGAATATATATATACTTTGTTAGAATGTATGTATGATGAATATATATATATATTTGTGTGTGTGTCTCAAGTACAGTTTTATATTTAGACAGGTTACCAGAATTTCATCATGTAAAACGACGAAAGATTTATAAGAATAACTAGTATGTTATGTAATAAAAACTTTTACGCACCAATAATTATTTTACTAATTTTACTAAAATCTCAATTAATCTAGCCCATCATGTATCCATAGTTCATATAAATTCACTTGGTATTTTTGCTTGTATTTTCCCATTGAGGTTAAGACTGCAATTGATCAGTCTGTTATTGGCATATGTGCATACTGTGCGTATGCCTCGATATTGCCTTAATTCACAAGCTTGGATAGTGGTTAGCAGTACCTGGATTCCACTGCTAGCCACTATCCATCTTTAGTTTATATAGATGTTTGTTAAGTAACTATTAATTTGATTTCATATCATCAGGAAATAGCAAACGTGGAGAAATTTTTTTTTCATTGTTGAGTAGTTCTGACTTCATTTTCAACAAAATATGTGTGTTTTGAACAAGTTGAATCTGATATTTACAGATTGTGTGAACGAAGTAACTATGAACAGGAGAATGGTTGGTCAATCGAGCTTCAAGGGGGATATGATTTTTATCAGTTAAACAACGTGCCACGTGCATACAATCACTACCAGGGAAGTCCTACTCACTGCCTTCTAGGGGCGGAGGCGTTGTTTACGAAATTCAGAGGACGAAAAGCAAATGTCCGGTGCCTTAACCGAGTTGGTGGACACGAAGAGTCTGCCTAGGAGAACTGAAAAACCCTAATCCAAAACCAATGGTGTACATGGGCTCCAGTATCCTGAAGGGACAAATGACGTATGAACCAATCGTTGGCCACTGGTTACCATGAGGCCGCACCACCTGACATTGCTCTACTGCCTTGTAGATCAGACCTTTAGGTCAAAGGCTCCGGGTGTGGCCCCTTAAGAAAACCACTTGCTTCGGTTCGGGCACCCGGTTAGTATTCCAGCCCTCACACAAATCGAATGATTTATGTGGTGCATATCTACTTGGTGCCCCCCTTGTACCAATGTTTGTTTTTTTAATAATAATAATAATAATAATAATAATAATAATAATAATAATAATAATTGAGCAAACGTGTTTTTGACCAATAAAAGTAGGAAATACATAAGTGAATGGATTGCAAAACTTTATATCGTTACACAGATGGATGAATCTTAATTTTCTTAGACAATACCTACTGAATCATTGTAACTCTTGTTTATGTGATCAAATCAACAAGATGGTTTGCAAACTAGCAGATAAGTTCAAGTTGGTATCAACTGCAAAACGACCCCAGATGAATGAAATAAACAGCATTAAATACTACAACAAGTGTACATCAGAAACATCAATTGTAAAACATTGACATTCCAGTTCACATAAAACTCATACCATCATCGGATCTAAGCCTTCTAATGTTGGTGTAAGATTTTTATCCCAACCTATTGCAACATAATTTACCTAGAAAATAAAATAAAGAGAATTAAATGTAGTTTGGATAAATGGGTGAAGTTGAATGAATAGTCAGACTTTCTTTCCTGTTGAGAGACGGGTTTAGCATCATATGAAACACTTCGGCTACACGTTTCTCTTTATATTCGGAAAGGTGTTTCTGGATTATTTCGATATATTTTATATCAATTTGATGGTCACTAAATCTAGTATCTACTGTTATTGCCGGTTTAATTTGTAGATCTTCCTATTCTATAGGACTATTAGGTCACTGACATAATCAAAATTATTTTGATTTTGATTGAACCAAATATTCTATCTTGTTCTTTTTACTATACAGACTTATGTTAATTCGGTTGTTTATTTACTTACTGTCTGAAGAAGCAACTTCAGCTACGTTGCGAAACATCAGAAATTAAAATCTCTGCTCATTGGGATATCAAAAATAAATAATTATTCTATTATCAACATTCTAGTTAGTGCTCAATTTATTCAAAACTATCATGTCAAACCTTAGTATTGTTACCTATGATTTCAACCCTGAGTTGCACAAGCTATGTGATCTACCTCAGGGAATTATGATGGAGGGACAGAAGATGGTCCTATACAACATTTTTCCACACCAAGGAGCCATGTTATAAATTAATTACCTGTCCGCTTTTCCAGCTTAGTCCCAAATGATGCACGCTGTGGAAGATTATGGCATGACAAAATTAAAAATTTTCAAGCAACAGAAACTGGTGTTTACAGGGGGTGACACTGAATAAGTTGTCGTCACTGCTCCCGAAAATATATTGCTGAACCTCAGTAATGCTAACATGATGTTGCCACTGGATTTCAAAAATCTTTAAGAAACGAAGATGATCGGGCAGAATTGCCCAGGCTTCCTAGCTTGGGGGAGGGGAGGTTTCATAATAGTAGAGCAGAATTGTTTTCGCGGATGCATCATTAACCCAACCTTTTATAGACGGACTAGCATTATGATGGCTCCAAAGATGGCCTTCACTAAACGCAGGTTGACTTGATCTAACACGCCAACACCAGTACTCACACAACTACCTAGATATACGAACTTTTCTACTACAATATCGGAAACCACAAAAAGTGGGTGTAAGGACCTTCGACCAGTCTTGCAGAAATATTTTACACCTAGCTGGTGCAGAGTAAAACCTATAATTACGTACAACTAATTAAGTGGCACTCAGATAGCTGGTGTCATATCGTACATTAAGACAATCCCGTCCGCACATTCAAGGTTGAAAAGTCCTCATCAAAGTAACAAATGGATCCACCCCACCACCACGTGCTTCCTCTAGACCCGTTTCTAAAATATTAATGAAGGCTTAAAGGTCGGTTTTGATATCTCTGACTGTGGCACTAGGTGACACAAATTTAAATTCCAGGGGGGACATCAGTCTCATCGAAATTGTTCATATGTGTTGTTGATGAGTGAGAACTAGCGCGTAAATTAGGTGATACATTACCTCTTGATGATTACCTTCAATCAGTTGATATCAAGACCAAAATAAAACTGTAACCAATAGTAATGGGAAACGACTTACATTGAAATGATCCAAAAGATTGGGAGGTATTACATACGGTGCATCAATAATTACATTGCTCACGTACTGTTCATAATGAGAATAAAACAACATTCATATAGAGTTATTAATTAGAGAGTATTACTGATAACTAAACTAACAAAAATGCATTAATTTATAAAATTTCACCAAAAAGAAGCTAATGAACGAACAACAATTGGTATCATGATAAAATTATTTAGACTACTGCACGTGACGCCATATTGTATTGCATTCACTGTTATAAAATTATGGAAACTTAGATTTGAGGCTTATTAACAGAGATGAGGTAGTGGTTTCAATTACTGACTCTCAATTGTTCGAACTCCATTTTGATTCGGTTTGGGGAGTATGAGGATGAACGTAATATCACTAACCCTTATATGAAAAGAATGGCTCAAAATCAAGTATGTAAAATTGTACATTGAAAATGAGTTTTTAAAAATTTCTACTTCATTGTTACTTGATTGCTGAACGTTTTCTTTATAAAACAAAAGTCACATTCACAATTTTTAATTTCTTTCAATAATCCAGCCATAAAATAATATTTAATTGATTTTAATCCGGAAAAGTAATAATTAATGATGTAATCATGACAGAATACTTTGTAAATCGATTAAAAAAGGATTATTTTATTAGAAGTTTAAATCGATTTTTTTCTTAACTTCATTCTTTTTATATTTGAAGAGTAGTTATGTTAATCCATCAAGTTCATCACCTCCTATGGTGATAGATCTGATGGATATGAGCAGTTATAAAAATTTTCATTTTGAGGTAACATTGCAAAACGAATTTCCAAAACCATCCGCCTAGTTCAAGAAAATTGATGATGATAATAATAACAATAATAAATGGTATTCACAAAGTTGCTTTTAAGGAAATTTTGTACAAGTTGAAGATAATTCTTGTTATTGCTGGATAGTTGTATTGTCATCATCTGGAACTCCATAGAAGTGCTCATACACGAACTTAAACAAGATAGTTCCAAATCTGGAACTGCAACATGAACATATCAAGCACACTGATGAAATTGAAGGTTTATGATTCGAGTCCGAATGGGGTTATGTCGATGCTTACTGAAAAGTTCCTAAGTAGGACGAAATTTTTGTCCATGGAGCCCTGATTCTCAACACTTTTCCAACTGATTTCAGTTGGCACCAAAAACAAAAACACGTAGTTCCAACTAACAGTGGTCTGGATATTTGTGGTATGAGGTACAAACACAGTACCTTTTAATTCATAACAATTTGTGTGAGATGACATTAAATGATAGTTATTTGTCCTGTTTAATGGTGTAAAGTAAAAACATTGGTGGAATAGAGTTCCGAAAGCCCAACCGTAAACCTACGACTGTATATGCATTTAGGAAGAGAGAAGAGTTGTGCAGGTCAGGTCATAGATGTTCTAATTATTATACCACAGTTTATGGGGTGGACGGTTTCTAAATATAATGCTCACTCCAGTGAAGTTATTAATTAATTATCTAGTCAATGGTATGTAGTATATGGGTCAATCAATAATTTATAGTGTGATATAACTTAACAATCAGGTATAAAGTTGTACCGGTACACAATCGATGGAAGTTTGAGTGACGATTTAAGTAAACAATTTACATGTGAGTCTATTTTTACGAAATTTTACGCTCTAAATCAATATCCTTGGATTATATAAAAATAACAAGTTTGCTCCTTATGCAGTAGAAAACGTAACAAACTGTTAATCATCAGATAAAGCTGGATGATATAAACGCTTATGGTTACATTAAGACTTGTTATTGAGACTTGGTATTCATCGCAGTCTCATTTGTTTCCTGAATTGGTGCTACACTACCAAATTAATATACTGAAAACATGTTAAACTTTTATACAAACCAATTATATCTCAGTGTTTAAGAAAAAGGACAATCAATGTTAAATGAACCAAAATATTCTCAGAATTCATTTCGAAATTCTGTATTTTAACTGCAGTTTTAATTTCTATTAATTCTCTTCAGTCATTCCAATGTTAAAGTATCCCCATGATAGCTTACTCGACAGGCCAGTACAGATAACAGTCGTTCTTGAAGTGTGAGAATTGAGCCCATTCGACCACTTTCAAATGATGACGTCTGCAAAAGTAATACAATAACGAACCAATATATTGATGAAGTCAATATTCAGTCAGAAATAAGATGTCATGCAATTGGTTCCCTTTATGAATTTAAATAAAGCAAGAACAAATATTGATGCAGAATAGTATGAATTCATATTATTTCGAGGTTTCTCGTCAGCTGCTTACAAACCAAAAAATGTGATAGAATTTTTACATTGAGATAGAGTGAAAACAAATGACATAGATGAGTGTAAATAACTGGGTTACAATAATAACTATATATATATATATATATATATATATATATGCTAGAACAGGTCAGAGGTCAAAAGGAATTAATTCGGGTTTGGTGGTGTAATAATGCAATTGAATAATCATAAGATAGGTTACGTAATAATAATTAAATAGAATATGAAAAGTTAAGGTAATTTAGGAGGATCAGGTGGTGGAAATGCGTAAATAATAATGTGGTTTAAGAATTATGTAATAGAGGAGGAATATAAATATTTTGAAGTAAATAAAAATATAATAATAATAATAATAATAATAATAATAATAATGATAATAATGATAATAATAATAATAATAATAATAATAAAGGGTTACCAGGGTAGTGATAAGCTAATTAACGTCTCTTTTTGAATGCATAAGTCAGGTTTAAGTTTTTTGATCATAATAGCTTCAGCAAAACGGAGGGTGGTCGTATTTCTTTGTCTATTGATAACTTTGAAAGCATGAGGAAATAAGATGAGTAACCACTCTCATGCATGAACTCGGTTTATTATGAATCACGCTAATTTTTATGCATCGTACCGTCTTGATAGTGGCGTAAATGCGAAAATCGGTGATGGTAATGATGATGATAATAATAATTAATAATTAATGAGAATAATAATAATAATAATAATAATAATAATAATGTGGTTACGCAAGACTTTGATCTCCTTGAGGCATATAAAAAGATGCTAAAATTAATGATTCGTGAGTTTGGACAATTATTTTATGAGAAAACATGGAGACTTCAATTTTTGAAATAATTTCGGATGTCTCATAACTAATTACTAGTACTTTAAAGCATATTAAAGTTTAAGCTTAGTATTCTTAATAGTTTCTTCGTCTTAAAGTTAGCACGGTTATTTCGTCCAAAAGGAAATTTTCTTCGTTGAATTCTTTTAATTTTTGTTCACTGACACAATGAGTTATTTTAACCTTCTTCCACTTATTAGAATTTCCAGTCCCACTTGAAGTAAACATTTTAAACCTTCGTTTCAAAAGACACTACACTTTGTGATGCCAGACTGTGTTGGAGCTAATAGGAAAAATAGTGTATAGAGTACATCCAATTTTTCCTGCAAATTTTGTTGTTCTTGGTTTACTTAGTGTTACTTTCATTAAAAATAGAGTTTATAATAAAAAACGAATGGACTAATTATGATCGGTCACTTCAAATGTATAAGTCACTTCTAAACATTGAAAATGATGAAAATAATAACAGTGGTACGTTTATCCAGTGAAAATACCAATTACGTTAGCATTTAAAAAGTAAGCTGACCCAATTAAAGGTATGGTGAGATTGGTGATATGGTGAGTAGACTTGAAGCATTATAGGCTTTTGTATGACCTTCATTTTCATGCTCCATTAATTATTTATTATCTATTAATTTGTTTTGGTTAAGCATTTTGAATATCAATGGTAATCTTATCACCTTAAAATATTTAAATAGTCAGTTGCTTGGTAGCTTTAATCACACTTAGTTGAGATTCGAAGATTGGTTTCACAAGAAAATTACTCGGTTGACAAGCGAAATCGATTATATGGTAATTTTGTGTTTAAAGAATTAAAGATGATTATCAGGAAGCTCTAGAGATGGTTTTGGTATCTCTTGATATTGTAGTAAACAAAGACTTGGTGGAGAAACCCAATTCATAAATTAATGCGAAATTACAGTGTCTTCTTAAAGTACGGAAATCATACATTAAATATATTATTTGCACATCTTTCTTCAGTCTTCCTGTATATACTTCTTCATTCTTAAAATTTGAGTGTTATTCCTATCCCTTTCTATTTTCTGCAATTCAATTTTCTGCTGGCCGGTATTCCACTTCCGATTGGCGCTACATACTATTTATATCTGTCAACATAAGTAGCCTACACCACAGTATTCATCAACAGTCTGTATATGTCATTTAAAAGAAACTCAACTATCTTAAAAGAATATAAATCTTCTTAATTAATATTACAGTCGGTGTTATTACTGAGCTTATTAGGAGCGGTGGATTACAGGTTACAGTAACAATTTTCCAATAGACGATACGATATTTACATCACGCTCTACTCATCTGGTTTGTGAAACATGATATTGTACCAAATTCATACACCATTTGGGCCATAGCCTTGAATACTAATGTGTACTAGGTTGTAGAGTTATATTAACTGACGTGGTGGGTTAAGACGAACCAATTGTATAACTAAGTTAAATATACATGATACCAGTTAATATTTTTATGACTGAAAAATTGTTTAAGTAGCTAAGTCTGTACTCACTTTATCCGAGTATAATCCAACCAACAGATAATTCCCAAGTTTTAAACACTGTTCCAGGAATGATAAATGACCAATGTCTATTTTTCATAACATAGTTATACATTAAAAGGTTAAAGAAATATGGTATGTGACTACAATTGTTAATTTTGTTCATTTTCAACTATGTGTGAATAATTTAAAAAATTGTTGTACAATGCAACGGACCGAGACGACATCAAAAGAACAGTTGTCATTGAGTTTATTTCAAAAGCAACCTTTAACACCTGCAGATTTTATTTTTACATTCAAGAAATCTGAACCTGTGAAATTTCTTTTTAAATTGTTGAATTTGACACTTCGAAACTCAGAAGTAAAAAATTACACATTACTTTTACTTTTAAAAAGAGATATATCAAAGCAGTAAAAGAATATGGAGTTAACTCACTTGGTCCATTCGTAATATTAGTAAGAAGAAGATGTTCTGCATTTGTGGGGACGTTTAAGCAGTAACTTATTCACAGAAGTAATCAACGTATTCCTATTGTCAAATCATGTCTTGGAACTAGGTAGCATTACAATACTTTTGACAGCATATAAGATTCGTTTTGTCACTGGCATTTACTAAGAAAACGGGCTTGTAAAATGGCCTTATTACTAAATTAGTAACTAAGTTGTCAGTCAGACAACTACAACGTAAGAAAAGGCACACATATACGTCTCTTGTCTTCAGTACAAACATTGATTTTTGAACCTCTTAATTCACTTCCGATAGGACACACATATATAGGGATACGTACCAATATAGATTGCCTTAAGACAGTACAGTGAGAATCAATCGACTGAAGGAAAAGCAAATAAATCAAAACTATGGTGAGACTATAATTCGTGGACGACCTTTAAGCAACGCTGAAGTGACCCTGAGGATGCCTACTAACTAGGACATAATGAGGGTCATAAAGCAGTGTAAGGAATTAGAATAATGATTTACAGTTCGTGGTTATGGTTAAGAATTAGGTTCAGGGTTTTCATCACAAACTGACCTCAGCTAAAATGATAAAACGCTATCTGGCCAAATGGATGAATGAATTTCGCGCCATAATCTATGACTTGTTATCTTACATCTGATTGGGTTTTAAATAAATTATGGTCTCATCAGTTCCTACCTGGAAGCGTCGTTGGTTAATTGCTACTAGAAATGAAATCTCGTTATATAAAGTCCTTTTCCTTTTTAACCACTTTAAACTAATTCTGTACATCTTCCCGCATTGGTTTAGGAGACAGTTAAAATAGAAGGTATCCAATTACCGTTCCGAAACATCAGACAATCATCATTTTTTAAAGTTCCATTGCGTTACAAGCAATCGTCATCACGTAAAAGTGAAATAATTGGATACCAAGCATTAAGAGTACTAAGTTTCTCACCGTTTTCAATCCAAAAACCTTACTTTTGATGACAATGTTAATTTAGTATAATGGAGGCTTCTTGTTACATATAAATTTTTCCGATATTTTTCAGTCACATAGCTACAACGTAAGACCAGGCATATATATGCATCGGTCCAAGTTGCCACACCTCATTAGCACAACAAGATGAACACCAAATTTATAGAAGTAGTCACTTCAATGGTGGTAATATACAAAAGAAAGATTGAGCATAAGGATATAGTACAGGAAGAAAGAAGTAGTTCGTAAAAAGAAATATAAAGCGATTTTAATCTCACGGTTTAAGGCAGGACAAAGAGTGTATACACCGACGCCATTGGGATTGATTCTGAGCCGTGTCACCAAGAGTCTCCAACCATTGGTTATGATAGTAACGTAAACCCCAACCAAATAGTCTGCATCTTCCAACATGGGTCAGACTAGAAGTTAGTGACTTCAAGCAATGATGCCACGTTTTGCTTTGGCCTCCCCTAACCTTCTTCCAACCATCTCCAACACCGGTTAGCATTGCACGTCGTGGTAATCGGTCTTCACGCATACGTAGCATGTGGGCCAACCATCACAGTCGATGAAGATTCACAACCTCATCAACTGATTTACCATCATTCCCTAATACCCTGCGTCTAACCTCACTATTACTTACCCGGTGATCCCAGCAGACGCCAGCAATATTTCCAAGGCCTCTGCGGTCAAATACTAGTAGCTTACGAGTATCTTCTACTCTTAATGGCCATGTTTTGCTGCCGTAAAGTAGAACAGAATGAACTGCCGTGCAGTATACTCGTCCTTTTATTGATAGACCGATATTTCGCCTTCGCCATAGGTGACGAGCTAAACGAGTTTTTTCGAATTCGTGCAGAGATTTCGCCTGACACCAACTCATTAGGGCTGATCAGACTTCCAAGATAAGTGAAGTTGTCGACACGCTCAACTACTTTAATCCCTATCCTCAGTCCAGGTGTTGACACAGGCCAGTTCTGAAGTAATAATTTGCTTTCTGATGGGGAGAAACGCATCCCAAACATCCTGGCATTGTTGCTCAGTGCTACCAGAAGACTCTGCATTTTATCAGCGTCTTCAGCAAACAGGACTATGTCATCTGCGTATTCTAAGTCGATAAGTGGACCTACTGGAAGGAGATCAATACCCAAGAATTCAGTCGACGAGAATGTCATTTTCATCAGTATGTCTATGATGAAGTTGAACAAAAATGGAAAAAGTGGACAGCCTTGACGGACACCAATTGAGGTTGCAAAAGCAGATGACAGTTCGCCATAAGCTCTCACTCGACTAGTAGTGTTCGAGTAAAGAGCCTTCACAAGGTTTATGTACTTCTGAGATACTCCTTTCAATGACAGACACTGCCACAGCATCTCGCGATCTACAGAGTCAAATGCTGTTTTCAAAGTCAAGAAAAACTATCACTGTCGGACGCCTATAAGTATGCCTGTGTTCTAGAACCTGGCGAATGGTGAATATGTGGTTTCTGGGATTAAATTTTCTAGTATTAGTTTCTCAATTACAGTGATAACTTATTATGTAATGAGCATAACTTAGTGGTAGTAGTATTCATAATCAACTACTAAGTTGTGCTCATTACATAATAAGTTATCACTGTAATTGAGAAACTAATACTTAAAACTTTAATTACAGAAACCAACTTTTTTTCGTAGCGAATTCAGCCACTATTAAAAGAAGAGAGTCTGAAAACACCTGACCCGATTACATAATACTTTGGAATATTATGTTGCTCATTGCTGTGTGGTAATGAAAGTAAGGTGCGATTGATCATTGAGGGTCGACTAACAGACGCGAACTATTTAATGTGATCTTCCTCCTATTACTAATTTCTACTCTGGACTTCTACGTGTAAACTGTTTTGCAGTTGTGAGAAATAAAATATTATCTAGTCTAAACTCTAGTTTTCTATATTTGATCGTAAATAATGTATCTGGAATAAAGTGATCTAGCCTGGGTATAGCGTATCGATCGAGTGTCCAAGTAAGTGGTAGGATAATGTTGATCATCAGTCGTATTATCGTATCATAGTAGCATAGTGTTGCAAACAGAAAATATTTATATTACACCATTATATCATTTACATATAAAGGATACGGAATAGGTCAAATGTACCCGGTACATACACCACAATGTCATTACTATTAGGTTCACGAAATTGACCAGAACAAAATTGACTTATACGTAAAATATTCGGCATATACGTCATACCACCAGTAGACCAAATTGAAACATTAATTGAATCTGTCACATCATTAGCTTTAGAACAATTTGAATTTAGGCCCGGATATATGGGTGATAATGTTTCCTTCGTCTGGAAATCAAAATAAAACAATAAAAACCAAGGAAGAGAATGATTTTAGAGGAAAAAATGTGTACCGATAATTTCAAGTGTTTCATTGTACTATACAATTTTGAATGTCAAGCGAAATCTTTCTGGTTAAAGCACTCGACCTGACTATTGAGTCGCAGCTTCGAACCCCATTTTATCTGCTTCAGTTTAGGCAACTTGATAGTACTGCTAACCATAAAGCAAACAGCAAAAGTTAAAAACTAAATGCATAAACTTTCGGTTTGGTAGACCAGTTACATTATTTAAAAATGATCATTAGGAAATCGTAAACCCGGATTCCTGCTTTTACCCTCACCTAACAGTAGCCGACAATTCAAGAAAACATTTATATGGCATTCAGTGTTCAAACCTAGAAGTCACAACCTACTACTGATCGATCTAAATAAGTAATAAATTTCATTAGGGGAACTTATGTGAACGAATTAATGCTTAGATGACTAAACATATGTTATTAACTGAGACGTAAGGCCTTTTTGATGACAAAGTCTCTTCATGTTAATTCTCAAAATTCAACAAATCCGGTTTTACAAATTTCACCAAATTTCAGAAACATGAGTCAGCGAGTTATAAATAACGTAAGAGGGTGTCTCCTGGAAGCATAAAAGAGATTGAGGAAATTCTCGAGATGACGAAGAAATCGCTACATAATCAAAACAACAAAAACGTTTCCCGAATCCCTTCAACACATGTTATGCATTCTAAGTAATTTATTGTATATCATCGAGTCTTGTTAATAAGGTTCGACATCGCCACCTATATATAGGGATTCGAGCCAACAACATTAGCCTACTTAGTAAAAACAGATTCGTAACATCACTTTCAAGTGTATGGCCGGGTAAGATTTAATAAACAATTTTACCGATTTGATGGCTATTAGAATTAAATAGCGAAAAGTCAGCAAAAACAATTTTGTTTTGTTCTTTAATCACTAGGAAAGCTTAAATTTCTAATGATAATATTAATAATAATAATAATAATAATAATAATGAATTTTACCGATTCATGACACCATTTTTTGTTTGTTTATCTTTATTCCGTTCATATCTCTTTATTATTTATACATTTAAAATGTTTATTTAAACAAATTTCGTATTAAGTAGTTTATTATTATTTTAATACGTTTATTTTTACAAGGTTTGACCTATTTCCTATCATACTGTTTATTATTTACTACTATGTTAGTCACCTTATTACTAAATTATACTTTTCACTTGCTACGTTTAGTTATGTGATCCTTTTGTATATTACAGTAAATCCTGAAGAGGGTCGAATGGGAAACAGTATAGTTTGTTTAAATCTATTCTAAAAAGTTGCACACGACAATAAAACAGTAATTAACAATTATTCACAATAATACATTGATTAGATCTGCATCACTGTTATAGTGCTTTAACTAAGATAAAGTTGACTTTGAGCTTAGTGAATTTTCACAATTTTCTGATTTCCGAGTAAAGGGCATCTTACAAATAATTCAACTATCATGTTAATCAGTGCTTCGGCAATAAGTGTCGTTTACTTTAAATATCAGAGATAAAATAGGATTCCCATGACTTTTTTCGTTGATATATCGTTAGCCCCAACATTAACTAGAGTGGTACCGTAATAAACGAGAACACAGATGGGGACAACCAATGTATCTTAATACAAAATTACAGAATATCTTGATAAATTATGAGAACCATACACTAAATACTTCATTTGGAAATTTCCATCATTCATCCTTCACACTTTGTAAGGTTTCTCCAGCTCACAATTCCTTTCTATTTTCCATTCTTTTCTCCTCAACTCGATTTTCTTAGCCTTCTGCTCCCAGCCATTCAACATTTGATTGGTATTACATACTACTTGCGTCGACAGACATAAGTAGCATACATAACAGTACCCCTTTAATTTAAAACCTTTTACTTAATTATTGAGTTACAGTAATTTATCTTGTAATTTTAGCTATGATTGAAAACAGTGTGTATACTCAGAAGTACTAAAATCCCATAATAATCAAGAGAAACTTATAAAACACTCATTTACCTTACAAGGATGCATAAACTTATCTTTACTTTTTAATACAGAATCTAATGATTGTGTTCGTCGAATTGAACACTCTGTACTTGAACTAAACTGCGATGCATACGTACCTTGATCTTGTAATTGTTGTATACGTTTTAACATTCTGTATGCATAATAATAATAATAATAATAATAATAATAATAATAATAATAACAAACAGTTATATGTGGATAAAAATAAACTGATATAAGCACAGATATTTGCATATGAAAAACAGGGATAATGAACATAAAGTGATTTAAACTATTGGAATTAAATAACGTTTCACATGGTGGTGATCTAGTTCAAGCTTCTTCAGAGAAATAACACTGATTTTCGAGTCGCAACCTACGCAAGAAACAGCTATCCAGTTCTACATGTTGATTGTAGGATTCTGAATGCTATGATGTATGTAAATTACGTTTATACAGTGGTTTCTTTTCTAATAAGTGTTAACTGTTACTCAGTTGTGTTTATTTATAATTTAACTATTAATATGAACTACAAATACTAGTGCATTCAGACATAGTTTTGGTCTATTTTTAGTGTCAGTATTCTGCTTCTTTCTTCTTACGTTAAATCATTTCAGCTTAGTATCTGAACAAACAACACATGCAAAACAGTATTATTCAATACTAACACATCTGATGTCAGTTTACGATACAGGAATTCCGTTTTATCACTTTATTTACTAATTCAAAAATGAGTCATTTGGAAATTATATGGATTTATCCATTTTAAAATATTAAAAATATCCTTCAACACTGTTACTAAGTTAAATGATATAAAGCATTCATTTATTTCAAATACAGACATGCGAAACACCTCGATATATAAACGAATTCTATGAACACATGAAATCGCACCATCATTTAATATCCAACTAATGATTTACACAAATGTACACAGAAACAATAACGACAGCCAATTACTAACCTTGACACTAAAGCTGTAGTAGATATACCCTCAGTTCGTTTAACTTCTCTAATTGTAACAAAATGAAATAGTTTATAAATCACCATTTATAATGATACTGAGAGAGAAAAAACGCTGGTTAAAATAGAATTATACAGAATAAAATTCACTCAATACAGTGTGGTTATATTAGAGATGTGACAATTATAGTGCATTGAATTAACATTATTCATGAGCAAAAACGAAATGTATTACAACGCTCCACTTCCTGTGAATTCTACCAACAGTTTAACGTAAATGTCATGTGCTTTGAAGTTTCTTTCTTCCTTATTTGCAAACAATATTCAAATATTATGGTCAACTATACAAGGGATGACGGTAAAATTCATTCTCATTAGTAACTTAAAAATACTGTATAATCAACTAAAAGGTATCGATACTTACATCATATTTGCATCACATAAGAAATATGATGCTTGATTTGTTCTCTACAACCACATAATGGTGGTCGCTACAAATTCGAACATCTTCATTCCCTATAGATGACGATCTAGATGGTGTCCAGAACTTTAACAGGAACAATGTTATGACGTATGCTAAGAGTGTTAGACTTTTAACGATAAGATAGGAGGTTCGAATCCTGTTCAATATGCTTCACTTCGAGAAGTCGGGTAATTTTGTCATCGCTTTTACTAGATGTGTCTGAAAATCGAGTAAACGATTCTGCACTCTACATATTACAGAATTTTCTTAAGAAAATGAGTAGTACAGCCTTTTAAGTAATAAATCTCACTTGTATCGATTAGTTGCTTTAACTTCTGCATAAGGATCTGATCCATCATTGGATACCACCAGATCATCTACAATTATATAGATTAAAAATAAACTTTGAAGGTATGCAAATTTATAATTTAGTCCACCCAAAAACATTAGAGAACATGACATAATACACCAGTTACAAAGAAAAGGTGGATGTGAGAATCAGAATTCTTCTTTAATTGCAAAAGTACAGGAAATCAAGATCGAGTGTGTGCAGCAAATGTTGCCAACGAATATATGAAGTCACCTTATTTGTGATCTTTTTTTCATTTGAACACATAAACATTGGTGCAAGGATGCACCAAGATATGTCATAGAAATCATTTAATTTGTATGCGGGCTGAGATACTGGCCAGGTGTTCAAACCAAAACAAGTGGTTTTCTTAGAGGGCCACTCCCCAAGCTTTGGCCGGGCGATCTAATCCACAAAGTAGTGGCGCAACGTCAAGAGATACGGTCCCATGGTAACCGGTGACCAAGCACAGGTTTATACTTCATTTGATCCCTCAGAGTTCTGGAGCTCATGTGCACCACTGGTTCAGGATCAGGGTCTTCCAAATCCTCTAGATGGATGATCCGTACCTGTCAACCGGGTTGAGGCACTGGACATTCGCTTTTTGTCCTCTCAATTCCGTAAACAACACCTGCAGTGAGCAGGTAGTGGGTAGGACTTCCCTGGAAGTGGACCGAGCCGTATTGGGAAATGTGAATCTCCTAGATATGAAGTTCTACTCACTGCCTTCTCGTGGCGTAGGTGTTGTGTACGAAATTGAGAGAACGAAAAGCGAATGTCCGGAGCTTTACCCGGGCTGGTGGACATGGAGAGTCCACCTAGGGGAGTTGGAAAACCATCATTCCAAATCAATGGTGCACATGGGCTCCAGTATACCGCGGGAACAAATGACGTATGAACCAATCGTTGGTCACCGGCTACCATCTCCTTACGATGGTCCACTGCCTTGTGGATCAGACCTTCAGGTCGAAGGCTCCGGGTGTGGCCCCCTAAGAAAACCACCGGCTTCAGTCTGGGCACCCGGGCAGTATCACAGCCCTCATACAAATCAAGTGAGATTCGTGTGGCGCATATGTATTTGGTGCCTCCTTGTACCAATATCTATGTGCTCAAATAAATAAATAAATATGACCTAAGAGCTAGTTATAAGATGTTGTTGGAGGATTTAGGCAATATGGTTCAAATTTAGTTTTAATTATACAGATATATTCATTTTCTGTTTTCCTCTATATCATTCTGTACTTTTTATTTTCAAACCTCATTAGATTTCTTTAATTATATCTTCTATATTTAGACGTTAATGTCAGTGATGCTACTATTATTTCCATTCTTTTTCCTTTCCTTTTGTCACACTGATTCGAAATGTATCAGCTTGGGCCAGTTGATATTAATGCCAGCTCATATGTTTGTGATTGAAAAACTTTAAATATCTAATGAAAATCTGAATAAGGTTGACCTTGCCCATAAATGTCCTATCCGAGCATTTTCCTTTAATGGTTGTGTAGTCATATGTGACGCTACAGTTAAGGGTACAACTTAGTCTTTAATACACTACATAATTTCAAAATGGATTATATCAATTAACACAGAACCAGGAAATAAAACATTAATATGTTAAGAAAATAATATATACCATACAGCAATGAAAAATATGTAACACTTATATTTACAAAACGATGAAAATATTCATAGATTATTGGTTAAGTAAAAATAGGCCTCATGAAGGTCAGGTTTAGTCATGGTGAAAGGAATTTAGAACAGTGGAATTTGTTTGTTTACTTATTTGATTATGACCATGAATGACACAAAAGGGAAATAATATTAATTTTGCCTGTAGCTAATAACATTGACGTATTCATGGTTAACAGGAAATAAATTTATAATGGATAGTACTGAGCTTTAATATTTCCAAAATACACCAGAAATTCCTTAGGCGGTTTCATAAATGTTGTGGATTAATCAAGACTAAGCAGAGATATAATAGCTCAAATGCAATATGATCTCTAAAGCACAATTCGACAATTCTTTAAAAATAAAGTAACGCAGTGTTATTGACTAAGAATAAAGAGAACTCAGTGAATTAAAAACCTATCCACTGCTGAGGCGTTGGCGATCAATCACTTCAACCCCGAATTCTGCCTGCAAAAACGATACGTCCAACTGCTCATCCTTCCGTGGCCCTAACTCACCTCCCCCGCGTTTTGGCTTTGTTTTATTTTTATCATTATTTTGTACTTTTCAGAATGCGACCAGTTATTATTGTCCTCTAACATTTTTTTCATAATTATTCAATATCCTGACCATTAAGCAACCTACTATTGATATTTGAAATCTCGAATCACTTTATGATGCAATCTCTTTTATCTTTCTATAGACTTCAATATTTATCAAATAACCATAAATACGAATATACAGCTTAAGCAAATGATTTCGTCGAAAAAAATTTTCTTCACTAAATTCTTAAACTTATAAGTAATAGCGCAAACAACCGAACCAAAGAAACCTCGTGCTTAAACTGTCATGTTGACCAGAGGAATTTCCAACAAGAAATACTGAACGACTCTTTGTTATGGTTGACAGATATACACTTTGAGTCTACAGGCTAAAAATGGGTGAGCATATATAAAAAATCCGTTCACTATTATATTCTCGATCATAGTTTATCTAAGTGTAGAATTTACAACAGAGCATGATAAGTGGGTAAATTTGTTTGCTCAAATTAGCAACCTTAGGATCGACTTTTCAAGACCCACGGAATCTGTTTAGGCTTGATATAGTGAATAGTTCTAAGAAACTTTGCGCAACATATATTCACAAGACCTTTGAACATAAATTTTGAATAATTACAACCCATCAAATCAATATCTTTTCAGTATGGAACAGTCGTTGAAATAAACGATGGATAAGAAAACAGAACACTGAAAAAAATTAACATCAATGTGTTTAGATATCAAATGCAACCATCTCCAGATTATTCTTAATTTATAGATTAAAACACACTTGAATATTCTATCAGACAGTTGGTAGAAAACCATCTGTATTGGTTGTTTAGATTCAACTCTGCTTACAAAGTTTGTGGAAATTCCTATGACTGAAAGTTCATTTTCACCATAAAAACCGGTAAACGCGAATTACATGATGACTCTATACATATGAACACTTTCCTATTACTGTGAAAAACATTTACGAATATCCAGAACAGACAAATTCGATTTCAATATATGGAATTTTGTGTTGGTCGAAGGTCAACCAATCAAAACTGAGAGATTAATGAAGATTTAGATCATTTTGATCCGGCGTGGTCTTATTTCAATGCCATAACCTATGATACACACTAGTGAATTAGTTAGGTAAAGTAGAAGGGTTGAAGTTACAGGCATGATATAAGCCCCTAATGAAAAAGAAAAACAAACAAGAATGTAAATTTTAAGACACTAATAATTTGTGCGGTCTTTACCACTGAAGGAATCACTGACAACAATCAAACAATGTACAGGCTTGAAATATCTGGAATATATTCAGAACAGGCTTCATGATAGAAAAAATTACGGTACTAATGACTAAAAGCGCCCATAACGTTGGGTTTCATTAATCCTTTTCTCAACAGATCACAACATATTTTCAAGCATAAATTTCGTCAAGAGACCGTCAATTAGTAGTCAATTTATTTTAAATCCAAAACAACTCACTAAACTGATACAACATACCTCCATGTACACAAAAATCACAAGAATATTTTTCTAACGTTTTCACATAGGTAAAGTATGGTGCATCTTCTACTACCTATGAGGGAACAAGATAGAATAACAGCTGATTAACAAGTTAAATTTGCTACGTTTAGATCAACTAGACAATAAATTTGAATAAGCACTCAAAAGGTACTTGGAACTATTATGTGTAAAACTAGACAATTTTTGAGTGATTAAGGTTAATTTAAAACTGACGGAACTCATAAAGTGAACATTCATTACATATAAAATATTTTGGTGAAATATGGTCAAAGAGAAAACACTTGGTAGTTTATGAATTCCAGAAAATCACTAGTAATCAATATAAGTATATCCTAATGAATCTATGCATGTTATGATAATCAGTTTAATCTCATTAAATTAAAAACGTGGTACTATATGAAAGTTCCAAAATACCGTCTATCCTTTCAAGTCAAAACAGTAGAAAGTTTATCACTCCAACATACATGAATGATTTGAGTAGCTAAATCTACCATCAGGCGCCAGAAAAACAGTACAACAGTATTGTTCAAGAAGACATGGTCACGGACAGGTATGAATTCTAGTTTATTAATTTGTGCACATTTGTCCTAGGTTTTACTCTGCTTATTGCTGGCTGGCTTACTAATTTATTCACTCAACCTTCATTATTACAGTAAACACCTTATATGTCGTCCTATGTAACTAGATAGTATTGTTAGCCATCGGGGGTTAGTATATGAGTTTTGAACTGTTATGAATAATGTACAATATTCCTTTAATTTTTATCTACATCGATAGAAACTCCAAGTATTTATAATTAAAACAGTTTTACGATGAGTAGAGAGAATATTAATACGTACACTTTTTATGAACACAAATTATTTACCGAATGATAATCCAGACAAAGCTCTCAAAGTTTATAATGAACAAATTTAACCAATCGAAGTACGTAATTTTGTTACCTAATTTATGATTACCATAGTGAGGGAAACAATTCTCGAGCTCATATCCTTCACCACTACAACACGAGTTCGACTACAACCCTAGGGAAACTTCTGATTTTCGTGGGATTTAAACATGAGTCATTTGGTAACAAAAACTATTGAGCTACCTTTTCTGATTTCATTATTAAAATCTAGAGAATATAAAATTTGCAAAATGTCAAAGACCGTCTACTGATAACCTACAACCACAGATCCACATTTATTACCTAGAATGGCTTACAAGATGATGCACACTATGTATGATTCCGCAACATCAATACGACTGACCGTTGAGCTGAGCCATGTTGTTAGATGCAGACTTCTTATTTGAAGCCCAAGAAATATCTGTAATCTATGAGTGGAGACAGATTAAGTATGCAGTGGCACAGAATTATTTAGTTTACAACTGATTCTTAGTATCATCACACAGTATCCAGTTCTGAACCTCATTTATTTCTTCAAAACTATATTTCTCATGCTTAGTATTCCATTACAGTTGATATTATTTTCTATCCTATCCTTTTTCAATTTTTGGTTGTGATAACGCAATATTTTATAACTTGGACCTATAAATTTATGTTCAGTTCTATGTTATCACTAATTTTAATATGAGTTTTCATAAACACTTAAGTAATAAGTTTTACTTACTTCATCGACCCATTTCATAGCTCTGATCAGCCGATAACGTTCTTTTTCATGGAAAACTGGTGGTCCTTTATGTTTAGTGATTTCTTCTAATAAATTAATGGTAAAGTTAAGAATTAAATATAAAACAAATAAAAGTATGCAAACTCACTGTCAGAGTGAATTCCAACGATAAGTTGATCACCGAGTGATTTAGCCTGACGAAGAGCATTGGCATGTCCAAAATGAACTAGGTCGAAACTTTAGAGAAATATTTCACTTTTATTTCAAAATAAATAAAATACGATTACCATCCGTCGACCCATACACGTATGGGTTTCCGATTATTTGAAGATGGATTGTGCATTTCAACCCGTCAGCTAAATGGTAATCTTAAACTTTTATGGCAAACATTATAAATTTACGTCTTTCAGGGGTACACGAATTAAGATTTAGATGTGCTGAATTTCACTTGTTGAGGCAACAATGTTCACTGTGGAATACAAAAGATAGCAAAATAAGACTGCTTTTACGAAAGTATTTGATTAATATATAAATATATATATATATATATATATATATATATATATATATATATATTCCAAATATTTTGATGGATAAAAAAACACTTTTAGCAACGTATCCGAACTTTATTACAGATCGCAACCAAAATCTTTAGTCTTCATTACAAACATTGATTTTTGAACCTCTTAATTCACTTCCGATAGGACACACATATATAGGGATACGTACCAATATAGATTGCCTTAAGACAGTACAGTGAGAATCAATCGACTGAAGGAAAAGCAAATAAATCAAAACTATGGTGAGACTATAATTCGTGGACGACCTTTAAGCAACGCTGAAGTGACCCTGAGGATGCCTACTAACTAGGACATAATGAGGGTCATAAAGCAGTGTAAGGAATTAGAATAATGATTTACAGTTCGTGGTTATGGTTAAGAATTAGGTTCAGGGTTTTCATCACAAACTGACCTCAGCTAAAATGATAAAACGCTATCTGGCCAAATGGATGAATGAATTTCGCGCCATAATCTATGACTTGTTATCTTACATCTGATTGGGTTTTAAATAAATTATGGTCTCATCAGTTCCTACCTGGAAGCGTCGTTGGTTAATTGCTACTAGAAATGAAATCTCGTTATATAAAGTCCTTTTCCTTTTTAACCACTTTAAACTAATTCTGTACATCTTCCCGCATTGGTTTAGGAGACAGTTAAAATAGAAGGTATCCAATTACCGTTCCGAAACATCAGACAATCATCATTTTTTAAAGTTCCATTGCGTTACAAGCAATCGTCATCACGTAAAAGTGAAATAATTGGATACCAAGCATTAAGAGTACTAAGTTTCTCACCGTTTTCAATCCAAAAACCTTACTTTTGATGACAATGTTAATTTAGTATAATGGAGGCTTCTTGTTACATATAAATTTTTCCGATATTTTTCAGTCACATAGCTACAACGTAAGACCAGGCATATATATGCATCGGTCCAAGTTGCCACACCTCATTAGCACAACAAGATGAACACCAAATTTATAGAAGTAGTCACTTCAATGGTGGTAATATACAAAAGAAAGATTGAGCATAAGGATATAGTACAGGAAGAAAGAAGTAGTTCGTAAAAAGAAATATAAAGCGATTTTAATCTCACGATTTAAGGCAGGATAAAGAGTGTATACACCGACGCCATTGGGATTGATTCTGAGCCGTGTCACCAAGAGTCTCCAACCATTGGTTATGATAGTAACGTAAACCCCAACCAAATAGTCTGCATCTTCCAACATGGGTCAGACTAGAAGTTAGTGACTTCAAGCAATGATGCCACGTTTTGCTTTGGCCTCCCCTAACCTTCTTCCAACCATCTCCAACACCGGTTAGCATTGCACGTCGTGGTAATCGGTCTTCACGCATACGTAGCATGTGGGCCAACCATCACAGTCGATGAAGATTCACAACCTCATCAACTGATTTACCATCATTCCCTAATACCCTGCGTCTAACCTCACTATTACTTACCCGGTGATCCCAGCAGACGCCAGCAATATTTCCAAGGCCTCTGCGGTCAAATACTAGTAGCTTACGAGTATCTTCTACTCTTAATGGCCATGTTTTGCTGCCGTAAAGTAGAACAGAATGAACTGCCGTGCAGTATACTCGTCCTTTTATTGATAGACCGATATTTCGCCTTCGCCATAGGTGACGAGCTAAACGAGTTTTTTCGAATTCGTGCAGAGATTTCGCCTGACACCAACTCATTAGGGCTGATCAGACTTCCAAGATAAGTGAAGTTGTCGACACGCTCAACTACTTTAATCCCTATCCTCAGTCCAGGTGTTGACACAGGCCAGTTCTGAAGTAATAATTTGCTTTCTGATGGGGAGAAACGCATCCCAAACATCCTGGCATTGTTGCTCAGTGCTACCAGAAGACTCTGCATTTTATCAGCGTCTTCAGCAAACAGGACTATGTCATCTGCGTATTCTAAGTCGATAAGTGGACCTACTGGAAGGAGATCAATACCCAAGAATTCAGTCGACGAGAATGTCATTTTCATCAGTATGTCTATGATGAAGTTGAACAAAAATGGAAAAAGTGGACAGCCTTGACGGACACCAATTGAGGTTGCAAAAGCAGATGACAGTTCGCCATAAGCTCTCACTCGACTAGTAGTGTTCGAGTAAAGAGCCTTCACAAGGTTTATGTACTTCTGAGATACTCCTTTCAATGACAGACACTGCCACAGCATCTCGCGATCTACAGAGTCAAATGCTGTTTTCAAAGTCAAGAAAAACTATCACTGTCGGACGCCTATAAGCATGCTTGTGTTCTAAAGCCTGACGAATGGTGAATATGTGGTCGATGCGGCCACGACCAGGTCTGAAGTCAGCCTGTTTTTCTCGTGTTTCCAGTTCACGAGTCTTTGTTGGGCTTCCTAATTGGTTCTCAAATTATGTGGTTGACTAGCTTTCCGAAACAAATTTTTCAGGCTCTAACAAGCCCTGATTCCTTAAGCGTACTAAGTTTTACATAAGTGCGGAATGAAAAGCATCTTGTGTAATGTATTCAAATAACTATTGTTAGAACGTCAACCAATTAATTTTAGCGAAGTGGTTGAGTCCCCTGACAGCTTCACTTATCTTGAGGGTATTATTTATGGTGGATTGTAATGTACAAAAATCTCGGCACGATAGTAGAATATACATCCGATGCTTGTTAACCTACGCTATCTGTAACTCAAGTAAGGTCGTTAACTCCACGTCATCGCGAAACTACTTGCATTTTCTGGTTGTAAAATACGGCCCACAAAGACAGTAGACGCACAGGTTTTTAGGATGTGACCACGAGTCTTCAAACAAGTGGTTAAGTATATTAAGACTGGAGTCTAACCAGTGAGTAGTCATAGGTAAAGATGAAAAATCTCTTAATCAAGATGTAGATCATTGACTACAGTATTTGGCAAGTCATAACATATATCTAACCACTACCTACTCTAGGACACTTCAGTGTACATTACAGGGTAAGTTGGTCCGCAAACACCCTGGTGAGGCCAATGGTAGGAAGAGTCCGATCTCCCTCTCGAAATGCTCTCAAGTGGCCACATGCATACAACCACTGCCAACGAAGTCCTATTCACTGCCTTTTCGTGACGGAGGCGTTCTTTATGAAATTGGTAGGACGAAAAGAAAATGTCCGGTGCTTTAACCGGATTGGTGGGTACGGAGCATCCACCTAGGGAAGTTGGAAAACCCTGATACAAAATCAACGGTGCACATAAGCTCCGGGATCCTGAGGAGATAAATGGCGTATGAACCTATTGTTAGCCACCAGCCACAATAGGACTGCATCCCCTTACGTTGCCCCACTGCGTTGTGGGTCAGACCCTTAGGTGGAAGGCTCTGAGCACACGAGCAGTATTACAGCCCACACACAAATCAAGTGACTTATGTGAAGAATATGTATCCGGTGCCCCTTTTGTAGTAATATTTGTGTTTAAATAAATAACAGGATTAATTAATGTTAACCAGTAACCGGGTATAGTCATATAATTTGCTTTGAGCCACACTTTTTACACAAGTGATAGTACGTCGTTCTGACTAAATAAACCTGAGTAGGTGGAGTATGATCTAAATACACATTTTGTTGTGTTCGGGTTGACATAAGCACTCATCCACACTTCCTCTAGGTTAACATAGGCAAATATTCTACAATCGTTAGAAGTAATCAAACTAATTCACGAACCTTCTTCATGATGTCACTTCGAAATTGTGGCACAAAATACTTTTCTGGTTTGTAATAGCGACATGAACGTATTCATTCTCGTAAATATTGCGTATAGTTTTATTTGCGCTCCAGGCGAGACTATAATTTATGGATGAAATAATCAGATTTACGACAAGTCTTTTAATTTTAGCGCGAAATCAAACCATCCACTTGGCTACTGTCAAACCTGCCAAAAATAAGGTTTAAAGGTTAACCTTGAAGGTACGGCTGAAAAAAGCGTTTTCCCATGCGTAGAATATGACTTTTGGTTGTGGGTCAGCCACGTTTGAAGCATTTTCCTAATAGCGTTTGTGGTATATCGTTTAGACGTGAGTAAATACTTGTAATGGCACCTTATTAAAATCATACGTATAAACCGAGCAATGATCCAAAAAGGAACTTAAATGTTTTACAACTGAAATTGAGTTTGATGTCTGTTTCATGCCAACAAGAAGAAACAAATAGATTAGATATTTACCAGTTAAATAAAAATCAACTAGAAATCTCACAAATCGAGAATTCAAAGGCTTACTTAAAGGTGGTTGACAATAATGATTTTTTTCAACGCGTTCAAGGCTAGTTAAAATGGGACCTGAAGCGATGTGAGGCACTACACAACATCGTGTAAAAGCTACTTCAAATTCAAGTCAAGGTCATCCAATACACAATATCTTTGCGACTGGCTAGTCCAAATGTCCCTGAACGGAATAGAAGGAGTTTTCTCATAACGGGCTCCCATATTTAGCAGCAGTGAATCATTACTACCCTTAGGCGCGAGCCTCGGCTAAAGAAGAAAAAGTTAAAAGTTAATAAACCATGGCAAGAAGTCGCTTGAACTAGCTCGGCCGGCAGCGAATTCTAGCATTTGATTGCTATTAGGGAGTGGAAGTTGTGTCAACAGTCCGTTAGGCTGTATTGTGTCTCCGGATTCTATGTGTTACCTCTAGGTTAGTGTTGGGACTAAGCTAACGTAAGTGTTTAAGGGGATATCCGGAAGTATTTAGGATTCTGTAAGCCATCAGATCACCTCTGAGACGTTTGAACTCTGATGAGCAAGAATTCAGTTATTGGAGGTGCTCTTCATGAGGTTTGAATTTGAGTGATTGACTGATTTCTTGACTCGTCGTTGGATACGTTCCAGAATGTCCTTATCATTTTGGAGTGAAGAAGGAAATACTTTGTTTCCGTACTCGAAATAGGGAAAGCTCATCCGTCAAATTGGACAAAACCTGCTTCGACGATATTAGTACAAGGTTTGCTCGAAAGGCAATTTTCTCGCAGTTGTTGTAAGATTACAGATCATGGGGTACCATTGCTTCCAGATCTTTTTCAACTTCAGATATCTTTAGAGGATAATTACCTTGATTGTATGTGTAGTTTGCAACATGTCTCAGGTGGACTGCTTTACACTTTGTAGTGTTAAAGGTAAGTCCGTTATCATCTGAGCAACTCTGAAGTCCAGTCAGATCCTCTTGAAGTGCCTGTATATCCTCTTAGTTACTCATCTTTCTCCAAAGTTTAATATCATCAGCAAAACGTAATAAACCTGACGACACCTGTTGTAGAAGATGGTCTATATAAATCGAGAAAACAAGAGGTCCTACTACTGAACACTGCGGACCTCACTAGGACATTCCATTGTAGTGACTCACATTTATCACGAGAACACGATTGGTTTAATAAAAACAATTATTATTATAACCAACTGTACCAGTGCTTGTTTTAATGTGCTTTTGTTTGACTGTGCTAATGACAGCTATTTTGTGCTTCCATTCTGATTCTCACACCTTGATTGTAACTGCGCGCAAATTCGGTTACCTTCTGTAACCAAGCTTGTATCCTGGCACGATCTCGGTATCCTTTCGATACCACGAGATCGCCGGCAAATATATATCTCGATTTGGTCCATTAATTGCCTTCTGATATTTGGCTTCTCGGGGATCTTATAGATTTATTTGGTTACATTCAACCTCCGCCTTCTGATCTACTTGGCACGTGTTTCTTTGTAGCGGTGTTCATAGTCAACCGCGACTCGACGCCACGCTACACCATATTTTAGATATAAACTTAGCCAATCAATTAAAGGTAATACGATACCTATTCGTTTGAGCTTATTGATAAGACATAAATAGTTCACCCTATCATAGGCTTTTGAGAAGTCAATGTAAATGATGTCAAACTTCCCCTTGCGATCACGATTGGTTGTCCATCTGTCCACCGCAGTCAGCAGGTTGGTTATACAAGAATGACCCTTCCTGAAACCATGCTGTTGTGGTTACAAAAAGTTAAAGGATAGTAAATAGTCGTGCAGACCATCGCATATCAGGGACTCCATCGTTTTTGAGGGCATAGGGAGAAGAGCCGCCAGTCGGTAGCTCGATGGTTTGCTACGTCGACCTCCTTTGAAAGTTGGTGTGGTATGAGCCAGCTTCCGAATTTCCGGCAATGTGCCTCGGCTTAGCAAGTGTGAGAACATCACGCTAAGTGGTGTTGCCATAATTGAAGCTGCTTTTCTCAGTATAGCAGAATAAACCATATCCGGACCGGGAGAACTGTATTTTCTTAGGTGCTACAGATTCCGGTAAGCGCTCACGTTCACTTCAGAAGGACCTGTGCAGTTGCAAATGAAGCTTTCATCAATATAATTCGTGTGGGTCGGTTGAAATATCCGAGAGTACTGTTCTGTAAGAAGGTTATCGGCTTCGCGGATCTCGACAACTGTAGGTTGCTTGCGGATTTCGGGGACCGTTAGCGGAACAGACTGCTTTGTAGCACATAGTACCACATGGGCACAGGCATTGGGGTAAGCCAGGGGTTTTCGCACACATGTTACATATTGTCGTGGATTGTTTGAGTCGTTATTTATCGCCTTTAACAGCCTTTTTTCCATCACACGCCAATTTTCGTAATGTTTGTGCTTGTTACATAGTTTTTACTCCAGTTTATTAGCAGTTTGACGTATTTGTTGTTGAGCTTTAAAACCTAATACATCTGGTTCACCTCCTTGATTATGGTCATGATGAACATGGATGTTGGTAGTTGTTTATAAAATGTAGGTTGAAGCAATTAGGCGTTAAACTATTTGTAGAATCTAAACTACGGTTTGGATAGAAGAATAGCCGACCGGCGACTTTAGACACGCGCCCTTTCCCGTCAAAATCAAAACAAGTAATCGGGTAAATAGCGGTTCTATAATTCATCATAAATTTAAATGTAAATCGTTACCTAAACAAATATTACCACCCGGCTATTCAACCAATAATTGTTCAATCAATGAAATCTAAATTACAATAAATAAAGAAGTTGATAGAAGATGAGGGAAAATTACCAGTCACAACAAATGAACGTTATTCTATCCTGACTGGATAGAACACACACAAAAGGAGGAGCAAATCAATATGGCTACCGCCAAGAACAAGTGTCAAGTAAAACAACACAGATGCAGTTTGGGAAGAAACACAAACTTAGTGAATGCGTACGAAAAACAAAAACTATAATAAAAAATACAAGTATTAACAACTCAATGTAATCAAAAGACAACAATGTACAACTAAGGGGATCAATAGGAACAAAGTACAAGTATATACATGGAGGGATTTTCACCAACACAAAACATTCAAAATGGATCTTACACTATTTATGAATATTGTATAACTTGCTTATATTCAGCCATAAACAGTTACATCCATTATAAGTATCATCGTTTTGTACTGAAGTGACATATTATTATGTAACGTATTTGAGATGAATTATGTGAGTAACAATTGACGTTTGTAGTCTTTTCCATCCGCTTTCTGAACATATACAGTAACAGTGTATAACATCACTGGAAGTGCCACATTAAGTAGTCACAAAGTCTTCATAAGTAAATCGTTACGTGTTTCTTTTGAGCATGGTGACAGAACCATGTCGTAGTTATTACTGATTTATGATGTGTCTGTTATAGGGTTCACGGACAAGTTTCTGTAAACAGAATTCGCAATCACTGACCGAATTATGAACAAAGTTATAATGCATATTGTCGAGTAATATCTAAATGGTGCTTACCAATTTTTTTATTAATACCAAATGTCTAGGTGAAATACTAGAAGTGTTAGAAAATGAGGAGCGCTGTTTACATGAAATAAGAAACCTATAGGTTATTTGTAACCTGCTAGTGAAGTCATAAATATACTGAAATCTGAGTTTTAAGGCAATACGAGCTGTGAAACCATTAACACCTCATTTACATCATAAACTTGGTACAAACAAATGTCATAAAACTGTGAACGCTTCACAACAATGCTTAGGAATTTGATGAGCTATATAGTTTATATTTCGTAAGTGATTAGGTTTACCTGTAAGATTTCGTCTTTTAACATATGCCAGTAGCAGATGACGGCAAGGATATCGACACGTAAGAAATATTCTACAATTGCACTTACAAGTGCTTTGATCCACTTCATAATGCATTCTACATGCTACCTAACTTCACCGTTTTGTCGCAGCATATGCATTACCTGCTTTCGAGTACAACCTGAAATATAGTTCTATACACTTAACAGTGGAGAGTTTAGCTTTCATAGCACTGACATCAGCAGCGGTAACCTGTTCATCAGTTCTCTCCTTAATACTTTCTACAACTTCCGTTGACTGAGAGTGCAATATTACTGGCTTCAAGTTTTCTTTTTCTTTGGATGACAATCTTCTACTCCACAGATCACAAATCATCCATGAACTACTACAAGGATGGTTGTGAGACATGTTGTAAGATTTTACGACGTATTCTTGACCTTCCAATCTTATGGGAAACCTAGATTGGCCGTTTAAAAACTTGGACCTTAAATGTCACAGATAAGTTAAAGTCTTCGCGGTTTTTTATTCACTGTCAGACCTGCTGACTTACGTTTACGACCAAACGTGCAATGAAACGCCACAAACAAGTATTTATATCTCATATCCTTCAACAATTTGCTTTCCGCGTGAACTGAGTGCGTATGGGTAATCTGAGAAAACATAGAATTATTCTTTCACACTTTATGGATATCCTTCAGCGCACTATCAAATTCAAACCAGCTTCCGAATCGCTTGTTCAGCGTGATACACTGAAACGCCTCGCTTACATCCACTGAAATTTCACTTGAGCATGAAGCACTTTAGACAACATGCATTAACTATTAAAAAATGTTATTCCTTGAAAAAAACTAACTGAAAGAAGTACAAAAATTATTTAGGACTTATCGTTGAGTTGATATTTCACCTTAACTTCTTTGTTTAACAGTGATTCACAAAATCTTTGCATATCTATAACTTTCAAGGTTATCTTATCTTCCTTACGTTGTTTTCTGAACCTTATCAACAAGTTATATACAGATGTTGTTGTTTATTACAGCAGTTGGAATCACAGATCAAGTTACGAAGCAACAACAGAGCTAACGTGTACACTACAAAACAGAGAATGCTAATTTAATGCTCTTGGCAGTTATTTTGTGCTTTTTCATGCAGCGAAATGTGGAAAAACTTATTACTTATACGACCCAACACACCCACGGCAATGAAAATACGGAATGACCGCCTCTAGTCAGGCCGTTCAAGGTCATTGAAACGAAACGGCGGACAGATTTGAAAGAGCCTACCGTTTTTACCTTGCCTTTTTCCCGTGCCATCATATTC